TTTCTTAGTAAGTGTTGAGGACCGTTCTGAAGCTACATTAATCCCTATAATACAGAAATATATTAAGCCAGGTACTGCTATTATGTCTGACTGCTGGAAAGCATACAGCAAGTTAGAACAGCTTTGTTATAAGCATGGCATGGTTAACCATTCAGTAGAATTTGTCAACTCTGATACTGTTGAGCACACTCAAATGATCGAAAGTACTGGCGTTCAGTCAAGGCAAGTCTCCCAACATACGGTACTCGAAAGCACTTGTATGAGTCCTATTTTGCAGAATGCCTCTTTCGTCGTAAGTACTTTGAATGTAACTCTGACCAATTCCTTGTCTTTCTTGATAAGATCAAACTGTTTACATTCCCAAAAATCATCTGTAATTTTGCCTCATTCCAATTCTTCTCACCATTCTGAACAGGCTCTTTTCAGAGCCAATTGTTTCCTTAGGAGACCTTATTTCATGAATAAACAAATTGTCTCACTACATCATCTCAAACAGTTCTTTTCAGAACTGCTTTACAACTAAGAGTCAAGTAGGCGGGAGGGTTTAGGGTTTAGATTTTGAAGTTTTTATTAGGGTTGTCTTAGGGTTGTGTCAGTTGTTGTGTGGGGCTTCACCCCCTACACAAAACCACCGACACACAACCCTAACAAAAACCTAATATAAACCTCAAAATTTAAACCCTAAACCCTCACTGCCTGCGAAGCATTCTCTTTGTATTGTGTCCTGTTCTTAATTTTAGGGTGCTTAGTGTAGGATTTAGGGGTTAGGGTTTAGTGTTTTGTTTTTAATTGCTCAAGCCTAATTAGAATCTTCTAGTTACATCACATTTCTAATTTTTAATTTTGTCTGTTTCTGAGTTTTACTGTTCATCTTTCATTACTTAATCTAGTACCTGCTTTTCTTGATACTTTTTTACTCATTTTTGCTGTTTTTAATGTTTTTTAATCAATTTCAATGAATAAAATTTAATTACGGTGTCAGAAGTCCTATCTCTTCAACCGCACCCCCTTCATGGGATGTGCTCCTTATGTAGCAACTTTCCATGAGTGACGTCAGCAATGTCAAAATAGCTTTCTAAAGGGTACCTGTATACTACACTCGCCCCACTGTGAGTATAAGTATGACTCTTTAGAAGGTTCTTTACCAGTGATAGAGTTACACAGGTTCAAACTAGCAAGGTTAGGCTCAAACGTGACAATCTTTGTAATTGTTACTAATTAATTATAATAATAGGCTTGGCCAATCAAACATCACTCCAATCATGCCTCTTGTGATGCTTCCTACTTTTTCTGTAGCAGTAAAAATCCTTGCAACAACTGCACTAGTTTGTAGACCAAAGACCAGTGCTTCAATGGGTGCAGTTAGTATTAGATTGATGCTTTTTCTGCATAGAAATTTACATCTACGATAATGCAGAGGATATTCTCTGACCATCCGTAATGTTGGTCAGTGGTCTTCTAAAAATTGCCATGGAGCTATCTAATCTTTGATCATCCAGCTTGTACCTAGAACACCTGCATTACTAGCTCTGCAGTGTCAGTAATCATAGTAGCATCCGATAATACCTGGTTGCCAGAAATTGATAATTTAATCTATCATATCATGTCATGCAGCTTGGTGCAAGACAGCATGTAATACTGACCTTGGAATTTGCAGGAATTAACAGGACACAAAAATTAAAATCTGTATTTAGGCCTTGTTTACACTATGATGCTAGCCTAATCGGCATCGTTTTTGCTATTACTGTTTCAGGTGTTTACACTAATCCAGCAGCTGCGTTTTCATTGGACTTTATCATTTGTTTATAGACTTATCCGTTTTGGTATCCGTTTTTCTTTTGTTTGGATTTGATATGTGTTTTCTTGTGTTTTAGTGTAAATGAGACCCTCATCTGGCTAAAAATATATCCGTTTTACTTTAAAACGTAGTCGTGTAAACCAGGCCTCAATTAGGATGCTAGTCAGACAAAATGGCCTTTGGATAAAATTTATCAAACAAAATTGTCTTACAAATTGTCCTAGGATAAAATGTACTGAGATTGGTAAGACATAAAACTATATCATAGGACGAAATAAACTAAAAAAATTGTGCTAGGACAAATCTCGGTTGGATGGTATTTTCTGTGATAGGACTAGTCAGGCCTAGATTTTTTATCAGATAAGTTTGGTTTTAAAATGGTGTTTAATGTACTACTTATTTCTTAGTATTTCTTTCCTCTTTTCTCAGTTTCTTAGTATTATAGTTTACCGGAATGACTGATCAGAAAAATTCTTATCATTGAAGCTTAATTTTTAAAAGAGGAAAATGTTCTTGGTTCTCACTATTTGCTCCTTTTTTCTCAGTTTCATGGTATAGTTTAAATCACCAGAGGTAGTGACTTATTAGACTGAGTTTATTATCATTTGAATATGTTTTTGAAATGACTTATGTATATACCACTTCTAACTATTTGTTCTCTCTTCTGAGTTTCATAAAATAGTTTAAACCAAAAGTGACAGATTAAAATAAGTTTTAATCATTAAAGATTGGTTTCAAAAGTCATGTTTTATGTTTTACTTATGTTTAATTACTTCTAACGTAGTGTTTCTTTTTTTCAGTTTCATTGTACAGTTTATACCAAAAGTGACTGATCTTAGGTTTTAAGTTTGATTTTAGAATGATGTTTTGTGTACTACTCATTTGTCAGTATTTGTTTTTTCTCAGTTTTATAATTGTTAAAAATACCAAAAGTGACTGATCAGACTAAATTCTTACCATTTGTGGTGAATTATCAAATAATTTTTTTCTCAGTTTTCAGTACTTTTTTCTTTTTTAGTTTCAAAGTGTAGTTTAAACTACCATAAGTGACTGATAAGAATGAGTTCTTTTCTTGAGGTTGGTTTTTAAAATGTTTAATGGTTTACTGACTTTTCACACTGCCAAATATTTTGTTTAAAACTACTATAAGATTCTTATCTCAGTTCCGGAAGTCCTTTGTTTGTTAACACCCATGGGTTATTTAAGTGACTGAAAACGCCAAAAGGGATAAGACTGAATTTTTATCATAAGTTTTAAGTTGTTTCATGTAGAGTAGCCTCACTTTGTTTACATACTTCTTAGTATCATTGCATTGTTCATACCAAGAGTAAGTGATAGGGCTGAGTTTTTATCATTTAAGGTTAATTTAAAAACGTTTAGTACTACTAAATTCTGACTATAAGTTCCTTCTTTTTTTGTTTCATAGTGTTGTGAAAAACTGAATTGACTCATTAAACTGAGTTCTTATATTTCGTGAAATAGATTAAAGTTCATTTTAGTTCTTACTATTTGTTTCTTTTTAGTTCCTTACTATAGTTTAAAATGCCAAAAGTAACTGATTAGACTAAGTTTAAATCATTTAAAAGTATTAAATTATTCTTCATGTACTGCTGACTTCATACTGTTTATTCCTTCCTTAGTTTCCTTCTTGAATGTGTAAAGTGATAGAACAGACTGAGTTTTTATTTTTTAAGGTTGTTTCTCTTAATTATTACTACTTGTTTCTTCTTTTATCAGTGAAATGGTATAGTTTATACCAGGAGGGACTGATCAGACTCAGTTCTCAGTTTTTATCTTTAAAGTTTATTTATAAAATGTCGTTTCATGTATTACCAATTTTGAGTATTAGTTTCTTTTTTTCTCAGTTTCATAGTATAGTTTAAAAACCAAAAGTGACAGATGCGATTGAATTCTTATATGAGATCTGTTTAAAAATGATGTTTCATGTACTATCCTAACTATTGTTTCCTTTTTTCTTACTTTTTATACAAGAAGTGACTGATCAGACTGAATTATGATTAAAATTTTTATATAATGGTGTTTCATGTACTAACTACTGACTTTATACTATTCGTTTAAAGTATACTGCACACTTTACAGTATTTGTTACTTTTTTTATACATTCATAGTTTTTAAAATATTACCAGCAGTGACTGATCTCATTGAATTATATCATGTAAGTTCATTTGTTAGGATTAGGTTCTTCCATTCTCAGTTTCATTGTGTAATTTTTAATACCATAATTGACTGATGCGACTGAAGCCATGATTACACAGCTATATTTTCAAGCAAAGAGGAATACTTTTGTATGGCTTTGTACCTTCCGTTTACACAGAAACGTGCAAATGTGCTATCAAAACAGAAATGAAAACGGCTTCCAAAGTGGAAATTTTGAAAATGCACACATTTGAAAATGGTAGCGTTTCTGTGTAAACGGGTAAGAGCAAATACGTTATAAAATAACTGCTCAAAAATTTAAATCCTAGTAATGTATCAAAAAATACACTCACTACTGGTCAATACTTCTACAACTGTAGCAAACTTTCTCTGGAGTTTCCGAAGAATTTTTTTCTTGTCCTCGGCCATTTCATTTTACATTTTATTATTTCAAAATTTTTTGCATGCATGTTACTAACAATTAATTAAAGTTATTTTATTTAAAACGCAGTGTTGTAAACTCATTGAAAATCCTGCGAATTTGACTGAACTGTTGCTGTGTAACTGGCCTAAAATACAATCAATTGAAATTTGAAAAAACAAGTTTCATGTATTACTCACTTCTCACTCTGTTTCTTATTTTGTCACAGGCATAGTAATATATATATCTATCAGAAGTGATCGATTAAACTAATTTTTTATCATTTGAATTTTTTTTAAAATGCTGTATGTACTATATATTCTTACAATTTGTTTCTTCTTTCCTCAATTTCATTGAATATATTAAAGTACATAAAATGACTGAGCAGAATGATTTTTAAAAATTTCAGGTTGTTAAAACAAATAATGCATTGTTTTATCTGATTTCTTACTATTTGTTTATTCTTTTCTCAGCTTTTATTATAGTTTATGCAAAGAGTGACTAATCAGACTTAGTTATTTTCATTTAAATTTGTTTGTTCAAACTAGTCTTTTCTCAGCACCTGGTTTTTTTTACGTATTTTTAAAAATAATGGAAGTGACATCAGATTGAATTGCTATTGCAGTTTGTTTTAACTTAAGAGTCATATTTTGAGGTTCAATCAGTAATAATGTGTTAAGCTTCTTTACTTGTCACTATTTTGTTTCTTAGTTTTATAATATAGTTTAAAATATCAGTAATTGTTCTTGTCTCAGCTTCATAGTATAGTTTAAATTACCAGAAGTGACAGATCTGACTAATGTTTTTATCATTTGAGGTTGTTTCCAGAATAATGTTACGTTGTTTAGTTCTTACTATTTTTTCTTCTTTTCTCAGTTTTATAGCATAGTCTATACCAGGACTGACCAATCATTTTCAGTGTTCGTCTTAAAGTTTGGTTTTAAGATGTTTTATGTACTACTGTTTTCTCAGGACTTGTTTCTTTCTGTCTTAGTTTCATCAAAACTAGAAGTGACTGATCAGACTAAGTTATTATTTGAGGTTGGTTTTTGAAACAATGTTTTATGTTTCACTGACTATTAGCTATTTGTTTTTCCTTTTCTTAGTTTTGTAGTACAGTCTATACCAGGAGGGACTGATTAGACTCAATTTCACCATTTAAGTCTGTTTTTAAATGTTTTATGTTCTCATTTCGTAGTATTTGCTGTTCTGTTTTCTCAGTTTTATAGTATAGTGTAAACACTAAAAGTGACTAATGAAATTGAGTTCTTAAAATCCGAGGTTAATTCTAAAATAATTTTTTTAGTTTGTACGAATTATTTCTTGATCTTAGTTTCATAGTATTGTTTCACTTACCAGAAGTGATGAGACTGATTTATCAATTAAAATTTGCTTTAAAAGATGCTTACTATCACTTTTTTCCTCAGTTTCATAGTATAGTTTAAATTAACAAAAATGACAACCTGACTGAGTTTTGCAACATCTGAGGTTGTTTAAAATATATTGTTTTTCTACATTTCTTTCTCAGTTTTATGGTATATTTTCTACCAAAAGTGACTGATCAAACTCTGTCATATGGGTTTGGTTTTAGGAAGTTTCATGTATTAGTCTTATCTCAGTATTTAGTAATTTGCTGAGATTGATATAGTTTAATATACCACAAGTGACTTATCAGACTGAGTTATCATTTAAGGTTGGTTTTTGAAATATTTCCTGTTTTACTAACTTTTTACGCTTTTTCTACTTTTTTTAGTTTGATAGCATAGTTTATACCAAGAGACTAGTTAGACTGAGTTCTTATGAATTAAGTTTTGTCTAAAAATGATGTTTAACGTAGCACTCATTTGTCACTATTTGTCTTTTTTCTAATTTTTATTTAAGTAGTTCATACCAAGAGTGTCTGATCAGACATTTTATTGTTAAAGTTTTGTTTTAATATGATGTTTCGTGTACTACTGATTTCTCAGCATTTGTCTTAGTATAGTTGAAAATACAAAAAGTGACTGATCAAATGAGGTCTTATAATTTGACTTTGGTTTTAAAATGATGTTTTATGTACAATTTATTACTCAATTCTGTTCCTCGGTTTCATAGTATTGTTTAAAATATTAGAATCAACAGATTAGACTGAGTTCTTTTATTTAGTAATAAATTCTGAATCAATTATGTTAAGTTTTTACTATTTTGTTGTTTGGTTTCATTTATATTATAGTTTAAAATACCAGAAGTGACTGATCAGACTGAGTTCTTATGATTTGAATTTGGTTTTTAAATATCATGTTCTACAGATTACATGGACTTAATACAAGTACTATTACAATGTTTCTTTTCCGTCATTCAGTTTAGTTTAAAATACCAGAAGTGACAGAATGGACTGATTTGAAGTTGTTTTTTGTTTCAGTCCTTACTATTCGTTTTTTGTTTTCTCAGATTCACAGTATAGTCAACTTTATTTAAAAAGAAGTAATTAATCAGACTGAGTTCTTAAAAGTAACTGTAAAATAACGTTTTACGTTTTACAAGTTTTACACAGTTGGTTTCTTAGTTTTATAGTATGTTTATACCCACTGATCAGACCCATTAGTTATTATTTAAGTTTCACTTTGAAATGATGTGTCATGTACTACTCTTTTTAGCATTATTTTTCTTTCTTTTTTATACTATAATAGTACAAGAAAGACTGATTATGGTGTTTAAACCAAGTTCTTATCATTTAAGGTTGGTTTTGAAATATGATTTGTTCTCACTACTCACTATTAAACATGAGAAGTGACTGATCAGATTGAGTTTCATCATTTGAAAATGTTTGTCAACTGATGCTTCATGTACCATTGAGTTCTCACGTTTTGTTTCTTTTTTCTTTACCTTTATTGTAAGAGGGACTTGATCAGACTCAGTTTTTTTGACTTAAGTTTGGTTTTGTGACTAATGATTTTGAGTTTATTTAGTTGAAATTGGGTTTTTAATAATGTTTTATGCACTACCAACTGCTAAGTATTTGTTTCTTCCTTTCTCAGCTTCGTAGCATAGTTTAAAGCACAAGAAGTTGGATTTCTTTAAATGTAAGGGAAAATTTTACTATCCACCATAAGGTACCGTTTGTCAATTATGGCCTTATTTTAAAAAAGAACCTTAATTTTATTAGAACTTAGTTTGCAGATTCTTTCATATCTGGCATTTCAAACTTAACTGTGAAACTGAGGAATCAAGATTCAAAGGCTAAAAATTAGTAGTACAGGAAACATCATTTTAAACCCTAATTTAATTAAGAATTTAGTCAGATCAGTCACTTCCGGCATACTATGAAACAGAAAAGAAGAACTCAGACTAACATACAATATAAGTTCAAATTTAATCTTAATTGATAAGAACTTAGTCAGCATTGTCACTTCTGGTATTTTAAACTGTACTACAAACAGACAAATTGAAAGACAAATACCAAGAAATGAGTGGTACATCAACATCATTAAGAAACCAATTTTAACGAATAAGAATTTAGTCAGATCAGTACTGAGCACAACAAACATCACTTTAAGGCCATACAGTAACTAATCGTATGTACCATACAAAGAAACCGAAAAAAACAAACTGCAAAACTGGGAATAAAAATGAAATACTTGTAAGTGATACATAAAGATAACTTTATAACTAAACTTAAATGATATAAACTGAGTCTAATCAGTCTTTTTTTGGTATAAACTATCCAATGAAATAGAAAAAACCAACATTAAGAAAAATGTTGTACAAGAAAAACGTCACTTCTTGTAGTTTAAAATACACTTTAAAATGAGTGATTATTGTCCTAGAGTGTTTAAACAATGCCATGAAACTATATGAAAAAAACCAACATTCAGAAATGAGTAGTACAAGAAACATCATTACTTCTGGTATTCTAAACTTTTTACCATTATGAGTTTCGCTTTAAAATGTTTTGTGTACTAGTTTTGTGACATTGGTTTGTCATTCCATTAAATATGGTAAATTGCATGAAGTGGCAGACATGACTGAGTTATGATCTTTGAAAGTTGGTTTTAAAATGTTTCATGTGCTACTGATTTTTCACTATCTCTTCTTTTTCCACTTTTAATGTAAAGTCCATATCAGAAGTGACAGATCAGACTGAGTTTTATCATTCAAATTAGGTTTAAAGAAAATGATATTTCAGGTATTTCTTAATCTAAATGTATAGTTTAAAATACCAGAAGTTACTGATCAGACTGAGTTTTTATCATTTCATTTTGGTACTAAAATACCTCATGTACAACTGAATTCTCACAATTTTTCTTCTTATATTCTTTTTGTTCCTTCTTTTAAAGCAAAGGTTGAGGCAGTGAGAGAAGACAGATGGTGTCAGTGAGAGCAGGGAGATGGTGTGGCAATAATAACAGGGAGATTGTGTGGCCACGAGAGCAGGGAGATAGTGAAGTAGTGAGAGCAGGGAGATGGTGTGGCAATGAAAGCAGGCAAATGATGTGGCAATGAGAGCAGGGAGATGGTGAGACACTAAAAGCAAAAAGTTGATGCAACAGTGAGAGCAGGAAGATGTTGTGGAAGTGAAAGCAGGGAAATATTGCAGTTAGAACAGGAAGGTGGTGTGCCATGAGATGATACGGTAGTGAGAGCAGGGAATGGTGCGGCAGTGCACTATAACAGGGAGATTGCGTGACAGTGAGAGCAGAGTTTGTGTTTCAGTGGGAGCAGAGACATGTTGAGGCACAGAGCTGAGAGTGTTGTATGTTTGTGTACATGTAATTACATTATTATTAGTTATATTATTGTTGGTCTAGTATTACCTAATTATGTCCTGTTTGGTCGTGTTCCTTCTAAAACTCTCTTTTTTAGAACTTTCTATTGTGTATGTACCGTAAATGTTCAAATAAAAGCCTGGGCGCTTATTTCTTTACAGGACAAAAAAAATGCGTAAAGAAAAGAAAAATTAAAACTGACATTTGAACCAGATTCAATGCACTGAGCTCAAAAAATTAGTCCATTTTGGGCACTCTAAAGATTGTGAGACTTATATTGAATAAGATGAGTGTTTATAGTTGAAAATTCTTAGTATCAGGCGTTTATTCAAGCCGGCCTTTATTGGAAATTTACTGTACTCTATTCTAGAAGATTCTCTAATGTATGTAAGGAAGTGATATTTGTAACATTTGGTTTGGTTGTTGATTTGATTGTTCAGTTGTCAGTTGGTTGGATCATTTAAGTTGTTGATCATTTAATTTATCAAGATTTTTATTAGGTTATGAGCCCAGCCTTTGTCTAAAATGGCGGAGTCAAAGTTTGTCACGATAGTTCCTTTTAATGGTTCTAATGATTCAACATGGAAGCTACAGTGTCAAATGACATCAATGAAAAAGAATCTATGCGGAATAGTCAATGGAACAGAGAGAGCCCCTTATGGAGACGGTGCTGCTAAGTTCCAGACACGAAAGGATTGAGCCTTGGCCACAATAATTCTCTTGATTGATCAGTTGCTATTATATTTCTGTCGCTATTATATTTCTGTTGCTATTACATTTGTTTGGTAAACCTGATGATCCTGTAGAAGTTTAAAGATTGCTCTCAAATCATTTTCAGAAGAAAACTTGGGCCAATCATTCAGCATTGAGATGCAAACTGCATTCACTCAGACTGGAGAAAGGACATCTGTTCAGGAGCATATTAAGTTCATTGCAGAAGTCTTCAGTAAGCTGAGTGTGACTGGAGACAATAATAGCGAAGAAGACCATGTAGTTTATCTTTTTGCTAGTCTTCCGGAGCATTTTGACAAACTAGTTACTGCATTTAAAGCAATCAGTGATGTTTCAAACTTAGAAACCGTGATTGAGAAGCTTTGACAAGAAGAAAGGAAGCTGACCAAACAGAAGGCTGTGAAAGAAACTGAGGAAGGCCTGACAGCAAAGCATGAAGTTGAAAGAGCTCCTAAATGTCATTACTGCAAAATATTTGGACATATCCAACGTTTTTGTATGGAAAGGGAGAATGTTCAAAATTAAAGTGAAACTTACTTTGTACTTGTGCAACATTTCATAGAGCTAATAGTGCTACACCAAGAAGCCTGCTGGTGATACTGACAGTGATGCAGCAGGATTGCTGTGGAACATGCCATATCGTTGCAGCAAACTCTCAAGTCTCAGAATAAGTGGATTGTTGACTCTGGAGCAACAAGTGCATGATGACAAAGCCTGTTTCATGGACATATATCCACTGGAGACCCTTCTGGAAGTCAAGCTTGGTGATAGATGATCTTCAAGA